ATCTCCTCGGAAGACGGATTATAAAGGCGGCCAGCAGGGATGCGTCTCGATGATCGAGAACGTTCGGCCGGAATGGTTCCGCGTATTCGTCGCGTCGCGCTCGACCGGAACCGTAACATAACCTCGACGACGCTCGCACGTTGGGACGAAAACGTTCGGAGCACGCGACCGGCGCGTCGTTTTGCCTCGGAACCGCAGAAACGTGGCGCGCGCGCGCCCGCTCGCTCGCCCGGAAGACGATCCTATTTAAACGTTCGCGTCCACTCACGGCCCGGCGTTTTCAGCGCTAACAAGATCGCGTGCTCGTTTACAAGAGCCGCTCGCGCGTCCCGCTCGGACGCGCCGCCGATCGAAAACATTTTTGCTCGCGAGCGGCGCGTCGTACCCCCACTCCGCCGCACCGCACCGTGCTGCACCGAGTCCCGTCGGATTCGGCGGCGAAACAGGCGCGTCGATTACGATCGAACGATAAAAGGTAAACGACTCGATCGAACGCGACGAAAATTCCTGTCGACCTCTCGCGAGCCACGTTCGTCCGAGTATGTAACGCGGAACAGCGTCAGCCGGGACCGATCGCGCGGATTTTCTCACGATTGTACGAAGATATGTGCTTGTGGAAATGTACTTTGCGAGCGACTCTGCGCGATCTTCTCGGGGCTAAGATGTAGGAACGCGTGAGAACGGTTGACAATAGAGTTATAAAATTAAGCGAAACGATTGGTCTTTGATTGTTTTCTTTTATGGTTGCCGATGTTATAGAAAGAGAGGCAGGAGACATTTTTAGGTAAATTTTCTGTCTTTGATTGTTTCTTTTATGGTTTTTGATGTTATAGAAAGAGAGGCAGGAGATATTTTTAGGTAAATTTTCTGTAATCGAGGGTCAGCTTGGAAAGAAAAATGGACGATTTGGGAGGGGGTGGTAGGATTATTGGAGCTTTGTGGCTCGTTTTTCTAGTTGCCGGTTGTCAAGGTTATTGTAATTATTGTAATTATATTATTGTAATAACTGTTATTACGATATTATTGTAATTACAGTAACTATTATGATTGTTATTGTAATTATTGTAACTATATTATTGTAATAACTATTATTACAATATTATTGTAATTACAGTAACTATTATGATAATATTATTGTAATTATAGTAACTATGATTATAATATTATTGTAATTATAGTAACTGTTGTTACAATATTATTATAATTGTAATAACTATAAAAAGCGAGCCGCAAAGCTCGAATAATCGTACCTCCTCTTTCCAAATCGTCCATTTTTGTTTGCAAGCTTCAATTAGGTTTAGCTTTCCAATTAGGGAGAATTTACTGTATTAGGATGCGTGTCGATGCGGACGGACGGTCGTTGAACCGGTGCATATAGCATGCAGAATTCTCCCTGTCCAATGTAAATTCTCCCTAATTGATGCTCAGATTGTGCACAAAAGTGGACTATTTAGGGATTGAAGATACGATTACTCGAGCCTCGCGACTCGTTTTGATAGTCTCCGATTGTCAACGACTGTAAAAACGAGCCGCAAGGTTATTTATTATTAGTCGCATCTCCTCTTCCCAAATTGTCCATTTTTGTGGACAATCTGGGCGTCAATTAGGGAGAATTCATTTTAACTTTATAATAATTCGACCAGATGATTTATGAACCTTCTTGAGACGTTACCGAATATTTTTTAGCATTCCAACGAATTGCAAAATATTGTTCACTCATTGCCCAGTAACGCCTTAGAACAATCCAAGTAATTTGGTCAAACTTTATAAAGTTATTCCGTTTGAAAAAGAGTCAACTAAGCCACTCTTCACAAATTGTCCATATTCGTGTACAAGCTGAGCGTCGATTAAAGGAGAATTTATTGTACATATTCTCAGATTTTTAGCCAATTCAATCACAACATATGTTCAAGTTTATTGAACAACTTAAATTACCAAAAACGTATATTCGCAATCTAAATATTAAGCCTCGAATTACCGAACCAGCGAAAATACAGTAAATTCTCTCTAATCGACACTGGGCAACAAAAATGGACAACTCGGGAGTAGAAGATACGATCATTCGAGGCTTGCTGCTCGTTCTCGCAGCAATCGACAGCCGCGACTCTCGAATAATCATCCCTCCCGAAATTGTCCATTCTCGCGTGCACAATCCGAGCGTGAATCCGAGAAAATTTACTCTAACACGTTGTACATGCAACGGTGCATCGTCCGTCCGTCCGCATCGACACGCATCCCGCCGCGACAGGATTTCTGTTAAAAAATTGACGACGTAGATTCGACGGTCGGACGAAGTCGGAGCGGTGTGCCGGGTGTATCGTAGAACATCGTGCCGTTTTGTATCGCGTCGCATCGCGTCGTATCGCATCGCATCGTATCGTATCGTTTCGTTTCGTTTCCATCGTTTCGATAGTCCTCATCCTATTTTAGCACCCTTTTCGGGACTGGCTACCCGAGGGAATCAATAACCGACGAGGAAGCGACTGTAGATTCGGGTACACCGGTGGAGAGAAGGGGAACCCAAGGAACCAAAGAGTACCGAGGGGCGTCGCGCGTCGAGTAGAAGAGCTCCCTGCCTAGCCGGGGCCGGGAGGGTGTTAGAGGGTGCAACAGGGACCGCGAACTTTAGGGTGGAGGTGGCACGCGAGAGAGTCGGAGCTTGGCTCCGCCTCCGGCACGCGACCAGCACGCGACCAACGCCATCGACCACGTCGTCGGCTCGGGCCGCCACCACCACCACCTCCACCGCCTCCGCCACCACCTACACCACCTCCACCGTCTCCACCGGGCTGCTATACCAGCTACACCGCCGTCGCTACCACCACCGTCGCGACCACCACCACCACCGCCGCCGCCGCCGCACCACCACCCTCGCAACCACCGTTGCTGCCACTGCCGCCACCGTTAACGTTACCGTTACCGTTACTACTGTTACTTCTATCTTGCCACCGGCTTCATCGACGATTACGCGGCCACCGGACGGACCGCCGTTCGTTCGCATCGCTCTCTCGATGCGTTCGATCTTTCGCTCCGCGTCCATTTTCCTCCGTGCTCTTTCTCTTCCGCTTCTCCTTCCCTCTCTCTCTCCCCGCGTCCTCTGACTTTCGATTTCGTAATCCCGAGCAATCGAATCCCGAAAGAAAACCGATAACCCCTGTACCGGAATCGACCGAACGTCGATCGGCGCGCGCGAACGCGCCCGTATGTTAGGTTATGTCCATCGAGACCGATCGATCGTGCGGCTCGATCGAACTGCGATAGGTTAAAAACCGTTTTGTCACGGTTTCTTAGCGTCCTGCCGACGCTCCATCGTATCGGATAGCAAGTAATCGTGTGTCTAAATCGTCGACGGAACGCGCGTCGTTCGCCTTCCGACGGCCTAACGTCGTCCGTCGACGGAGGAAACGACGACGGGAAGCTGTTTTCCGGGCCGATTCGATCGCTCGGACGGATCGAGCTCGAGGGGAAAATCATTTGGTAACAACGGCCGGACGATGAGGGACTGCCATAAATCCCGCGGCGATGATGAATACGTCTGACCCAGCTTGGCCGAAGATAATCGAAAATATGAAAAACAGCCGGCATTTGGTTAAGTTCGGAGGCTGGGGAAAGCGCTCGAGTGGCGCACTGTATGCGGCCCGTGAACTGCAGAACCATGGGCGTTGCTCGGGTAGTAGCGATTCATTCCCCTCTTTATCGTTCCTTCTACTCCGGCTTTATATAGCCGCCCACCTCCCACCCTCGGGGTGCCCCCCCGCAACCCCCCGTCTTCCCAACCCCCGCCCCCCCTCGGCCCCCAATCGCAATCCCAAGCCCGCCTTGCCCCTTCTAGCGGCCAACTACCACCCACTCTCATTTTAAACTTTCAAAGGAAAAAAGCTAGAAATACTTTAACTCGAAATGAAATTTCAAAAGGATGGAAGGGGCCGACAACGATTCCCTCTCCAGCGAACAACCCTCTCCCGCTTCTTCTTTCCTTCCGCGTTGCAGCGACTGAAAAATATGTAATACGAATTCAGATATACCCTTCCCTTCCTTTCGTTCCTTCCTTCGAGACCTCGACTAATCATCTCTCTCTCTCTAGTCGCCATTCCCCCGTCTAATCGACGGACCCCGGCGACACACGTTTCCCTTAACCCTTGGAGCTCTATGGACGCATATGTGCGTTTGGCGAAAGTCGTCCGTGCAGCCTAAGGCCGCATTTATGTGTTTTCCCTAAGTCATCGCGGCCTGGACTAAGGGCGCATATATATGCGTTTGTCGATTTTTTTCAATCGATATGCAGTTATTTTCGTGTAAAATTAATACAGGGGCAGCACTCGTTAGTAATTTGCCCTCCTTAGGTAGCGATTGGGCAATATTAGGGTCATAAAATTCCCCCGGGAATTTCCGAAACGGAAATCCCATTTGATGTCCCACTCTCTAACCAATTAGATTTCAAAATAATTACCTGCACTGTCACCTTTTCGTGACTCGAAGCGCTCGAAACGACTCGGTCAGCAGTATCGTCTTGTATAATTTATTACTGTTTTTGCGCCTTGAATAGTCACTTCAGTGTGGCAAAAAAGTATTCCGCCCCCAGCGATGGTCAGCGATAGCCGCGCTCTGTCCTTACGAACCGTTTCGGCCAGGAGTATTCAGAGCTCAAAAGGTTAAGTACCGTTTAGATTCTGTTTAGAACGTTGTTTTCCTGTATATATATATTTTTTTTTTCGCCGGTCATAACCGTGGTAAACGTGTTCGACGAGTGGACCACCCTCTTGTCCAGGGAGAATCCCGTGATGGAGCTTCCTTTTATGGAGCGAGATATATGTGTTAGGCAGCTTGGAAAGTCGCTGCGATTTCCGATCACGCGGTAGTAGAATTTTTCTGCAATTTTTTCTGCAATCACCGAAGCAGACTGTGTCATTGTTCTTCTCGTCGTTGTCTCGCGACCGGCAAACCGCATCGACTTTCCGAGCTAACCGGCGCTCTATCGGTTGTCTAATAACTCATCCATGTTTGCTTTCTCCTCTTTAATAACAACGACAGCTCATCGAGTAACAATTACGTAATTTTAATCGGATCACAATCGTTGCGACTGGCAGCACCACACCGAGTGTCCCCGCCGGCTTTTCCTCGGGCTTCCGCTTCGCGCTATCTTGGCTCTCTTTCATCTACGAAATTTCATCGGATTATGCTATCGCGTACACACAGAAGGCTGGAAAACATGCAACCGTTTCTTTTTCTTCGAGAAAGGCTGCTGTCGGTGAGTGAAAGAGAGACGGCGAGGGAGAAAGTGGGGAAAGATTTATTCTTGCGCTTTCATTTTTGCCCCAAATTATGGTATACATAACTTTGTTACGCGCGTTGCCTTCAAACATTTTGAGAAGACCTCGGCTCTAATTTCATGCATCGTGAAACCTGCGATGATTTTTTAACTAACGAATTAAATCGCTAATTGCCACGCTTTTCGGAGCGGATGATGCAACAACGTTCTTTAAAAGGCAGAATCTACTCGAATTAATCGTTGTAAGCGCGAGCAACTGTTAATGCGATTGTGTTAATTTTTATCGATCGACGCGAGCTAATAAATTAATCGTTTCTCTGATGACTGATGATCGAAAACTTTCTCAGATATGTATACCATAATACAAGTACACAGAGACTATTCTCCTTTCTTACCGAAACGACGCGGCTTCGTCTGCCTCTGTACAATAATGTAGTGAGAGAGATCCGAGAAAACTTGCGACGTCTAATTCCGTCCATTCGATGAGAGGAAAATGTATTTGTACGTCCGGGAAAGATGTACCGAACAACCTAAGAACGTTCTCATGATCTCTCTCGTTGCTGTCCGATCGCTTGCCAAACAACAATGTTCGCATTTCCGGTCTTGCTAAAATCTCCCCGTTGTTTCTCAAGGCGCACAATTCGACGTTGTACCTATCAAAGCAACAATTTCGTTTCTATTTAACTATATTAATATATATAATATATTATATTACATAATATATATATAATATAATATTGGCGAAAAAATATAATAATATTATATTATATTATATATAATATATATAATATATTTCTGTTATTTAGCTGGATTAATAAACAGTCGTCTACCTGTTGCTAATTTCCTGAAGAAAGCTACTCGCTCTTGGACTGATTCCACGTAATTTGGTTTTTGCAGATTCTCCAAGCTTTTCCGTTGCAACGCGAGCAAGGTGCAACACGATGACGGATTCTGGGCTACCGTCCAAGTAGATCCAGACCTCCTCCGGTTTCCGGCAATAATTTCTGTAAAAGAAAATGAAAAGAACGATCGAACAATTTGTCGGCTTTGGGAACACAACAACACGAGTCATCGATACTTTTTTCCACTTGACAGATGCATTACAGGAGTATTTCGACGGATTTCTCATAAATCGATCGACGTTCCGACTTCTCAAGCAAGCTCTCGTACTTTCGGACAGAGTCGACGTGGGGCGTGCGATCGTAATGCACAAGCATGCTGCTCGGGATTCGGGAACAAAAGGTTCTTCTGGCGGCCTCGGTGTCCTCCTCGTTGTTGCTCTCTACGGTGATGCGTGCCTTGTAATACCTGCAACAAATATCGTTAGTCTTGCAGAAACTTTTTCACAATCGTAGAACAAAGGAAGTCCAAGCTATCGCGAGATTTCAGAGGTCTCTTCAGAATTCTGCTAGTTTCTCGTTCGGTGAATTTTCATTACCTATTACTCTCTGGATACGATCCGAACGAAACGTTCGGAAACTTCTGTACAACTTCGTTTAATATGTTCGCGAACGTATCTTCCCTCGCGTTCACAAAAACCTCTACAGTTGAAAAAGATTTGTATCCGGCGAATAACTCCTACAAACATCTCCTATAATTGTTTCTCTGAAATGTGTAAGGTGTGATTTTCCTCAGAATTTACCTTACACAGAGCCGGAAACGAAACCTCGAAGAACACAGGCGATCCAGGAAAGACGAACACATTTTGTACTGCGATACATGGGTAAGCCAAAGGCTTCTCGGTGATTTGGTTTACTCCAAATTTCAGGACAGATTTGGTTGGAACCTAAACGAAGATCGCACATGTATTTCAACCGTTGAACGAACGCTGTAAATGTGTTAGACTTACATATGCCATTTTATAAGCGGGAGAAGGATACTTGCTATATCCGAAGCGATTCACAATGTCTACCAACTTCGGATGATAGTGCATGGTATCGTTGAAAGCCAATCCTAGGGCTTCGAATTTGATATTATTGTATCTACGATGGTACACAATCTCTGCGAAATTCCAAATAATTACCTTCGTAAGTAACATCGTCGTGAGTTGGTCCTATTCCTCCGGTGGTAAAGACATAATTATAACTTCCAGAGAAATTCTTGATCGCTTCTGCGATATCCTGGACATCGTCTCGAACGACCATAATCTAGAAAGTAAAATTTTTAATATGACTCGTCCACGCAGAATTGATAAACCAATGATCACATGTGCATGTGTAGAAACTAACTTTCTGAACCTTGACTCCATGCTTGTACAGCAAATTGCTCGCATACAACGAATTAGTGTCTTTCACTTGAGCCTTCAAGATTTCATCGCCAACAACTACATTTAAAAAAAAAAAACAAACAAAGATGTTTAACGCGAGAAACAACGTACGCGATCGAACACAACTGACAATCCCACAGGTTGTTATTACCAATTATTCCAGCAGTCGGGTGTTCTTCGTTACTTTTTCCATGTATCAACATTATTCTCATGATAGTTGGTCCATGGTGCTTCGACGAAATGTTTGCTAAATATCGTCGTAAGTGTATCATAATTTACCATTTAACCTCGCAATTAACGGTTTCGTAATGTAGCGTTCTGATCGTTTCGCAGCACGACGTAACTAAAGCGCTTTCGGGCCAATCCGTTCCCCAAAATGTATATAATTCAAGGCTATTGCAAAGCTATTTTTCTTGCGTCGAAAATCTAAAATTAATATTACATTCAGGCATGATCGTTGCCGTTCATGTCATAAACCACACGTTCTACGGCAACGATCATTTTTTATGTAAAAGTAGCATTTCGATCGAGCGGTGTTATTCGTGGAAAAATACTCAAAGAATGTATCGTATTCCTACCGAAAAAGTTGAGAATAAATAACAAGTTCGATAATTAAACTTTTCGCATGTCAGAAAGAATTCTTTGGCATCAAAAGCATTTTCTACAGAGAGATTGTGGCGCCTCCTGTGGCGAAACAAAGAAGCTTCGTTCAGGGTCCGTACAGCGCCAATTAGTCCAGCGGCGAAACGCCCAAACTGCTGGCCAAATCCAACTGTCGGTAATTTTGTCTACCAGTTTGAGCATTTCGCCGTTGGACTAATTGGCGCTGTACGGACTCTGAACGGAGCTTCGAGATTCTGCCACAGAGCGGCGCTACTGTCGCCGGTGCAATTTATCCGCGTCGGTATCGTTTGGCTAACAGTTTCAGCGTTTCGCCATTTACTAATTGGCGCTGCGAAACACGCAATAAAGTTTCATTTTTCTGCCGCGAGAGGCGCCGCTGTCGCTCAAACAGCAATTGATTCTTGCCGGATTTAAATCGTATCTCACGGCAAAAGCGGTAAGAATCATCTGCGTTAACTTTAAAAAATAATTCCGATGGTCTTCCGTAGAGATTATTTAACTTCCGAGGGCTCGAATTAAAGCTGAGAGAATGTACTTCACGACAGCGTCGATGCAATTTAAAAACAATAACGATAACCAAGCAGAAATTGAAAAATTGTGAGAATTATCTCCTCTGCTTTCCCTTTCGGATTCTCGATGGCTTCCGACGGCTGTAATCAGTAAGAACACGGAATCACATTCGTGACACGATTCGAAACTTTTATTACGACATTATAAATGCACAAAAACATCTTAAAAATATGGGTGTAAGTGTGAACGTGTATAGTCATGCGACGTGTAGTCGAAAGAACAACAGACTTCGATTACAGTTTCGAGAGTGAATGGGAGCTACGCGGGTCAGATTTCACAGATTCCGTCGAATGTCTCTTGCGCATATTATTTCTCCTCTCCGTCTGTGTGTGTTTCAATCGATTATAGCAGCACACCCTGTTTCTACACGCGACGCTTGTTTACCAGCCGGCGAACCGCGTGCTTTCCAGGCACGCGTTCCGCGATCGTTTCAGGCGGAACGAGTTCGTCGAAGGGACGAGGTTCCCCGGCGTTCCGGTAACATCGATTCGGAACTTGTTCGCGATCAAAATCCGACCCTCGAACGTCTGCGAAATCGTGGAAAAAACGAAACAATTTTCCGGCACCGTGTCGGACACGAGCAGGCGGGCATATTAACAAAGAACCGAGCGTTTAAAGAGGCTCTCTTCTTTCGGATTGTTTTCGCGTCGTCCGAATGAATTTTCGACGATGGCAACGCGATTACGGTAAATTCTTCCTGAGCGACGCTCGGCTTGGAGACGAAGCGGACAACTCGGAAGGGGAGGGGATAGGCTTCGTCGAGCGTTGCGGCTCGTTTTTATGGCCGTTGACAGTCGGCGACTGTAAACACGGGCCGCTAGGCTCGAATAACCGTGTCCCCTCTCTCCAAATTGCCCGCTTTTGCGAGCGACAATTAGAGAGAATTTATTGCACCGCGTTTGAGAATAATTTAACCGAATAATTCCGATTCCGCCGGAATAATTAAGCTCCGCGCATCTCGCAGCCGAAGACAATTGTATTTTCGATCGATGGTTCCTGCTGATCCGCCTGCCCGTCGGAACGGCGTCGGAAGGCCGCGTTTTGCACGACGGCGGTGTACCGTTCTCCGCGACCCTCACCTTCCGGTAGGGAAACGGCCGAGATACGGCAACGAGAAACAAGGGCAGGAAACGGGAGAACGAAAGGAAAACGAGAGAATACTCGACGGGGAAAGTGGGCGTGTGTGAACATTTCTAAAAGTTTCTCTGCAGAGAAACGAGTCCGGCTCCGATCGTCGCACGATGTTTCCATCGAGTTCCCCAACGCCATGAGAAAACCTGCGGTCATCATCGGTGTTCGCCAAACACCTTCGAACAGCTCGCGCGGTTCGTTCGTTGCTTCTGCTGGCAATCGGTAATTACCGGGCCGCGTGTACGTTGCTCTGCGAATCGTTTCTTTTGGCAGAAGCGTCGCGCTCACGGTCGAAACAATGCGCGAGAGTTCTAATTTAATTCTTTGGGCCACGGTGGAATTAAAAATGCCTCATTTTTTTATGCACGGTAATATGCATTGTGGGACATTTTTAGACCCACCATGCGGTTCATGCGTGAACACGGTTCGGCAATTACGACAATTTTCGATCGCAGCGTGAACGGACTTTGCGAGCTGTTCGTCCCGGAACACGGGCAATCGCCGAGCCGATCGGACTCGTTGACTATAATCTCGATCGCTAATGGTCGCCAAGGACCGCGAGGTCGGTATAGTAAGTTCTCCCTGATTGACGCTCGGCTTGGAAACGATAATGGACAATTTGGGAAGAGCTGGCGCGTCTATAAATAACCTCGTGGCTCATTTTTATTGTTGGTTGGGTCAATAACTACTTTTATTTATATCTAATATATAATATATTTAATAATATATATAATAATAATATTATATATAATATAATAATATATTAATAATATATTATATATATTATATTATATTGTATTACATATAATATAAATATTATATTATATATATATATATAAATATAAGTATATATAATTATATAATTATATTCATATAATATATATAATAATAATTATTATTATTTATAATCGCACCTCCTCTTCCCAGAATTGCCCATTACCGTGGACAATCCCGGGCGTGAATTAGGGAGAGCTCACGGTACACGCGTTTACGCAGTGGCTAAAAGAGGGATCGCCGTCGCGGTGTCGCGTCGCGGCAAATTCTATATCGAGTATTTTTAAGTTTACCCGCTTTTCTCATTTGTCTCATCATCGTAATCGTGATTATTTCCTTTTACATTTTTTTGGGTTGCTTTTCTTTCCGCTCGGCTTTTCGTACAAAAATAGATTCTCGAGCTCGGGTTGCGTAGCCTCGCGGCGGAATATTTAGTACCTGCGCGCGAGAGAGAGAGAGAGATCGCTCTCGATGCCCTTCTATTTTATTCCTCTCGAGCGCGAACCACGCGTGGTTCAGGCCGGCTCGCCTGAGTCGCGAGGGAGCGCGCGCGCGCGCGGTTCATTTTTTAACGGATCCGACGTGTAGTAGCGCGCGCGGCGGTGTCGCGCGCCCGTCGACGATCGGATCGGGGCCGCGCCGACGCACCGAGATCGAACGACCGCGGGGTGGGGGGTTGAGGACCGGCACGCGGCGTCCCGCGATCGGGTTTCGGGCGGCAAGGAAACATCGCCGAGGCTACGTAAGGCCCGGGCCGATCGAAGAACGAGATTGGAATCACCCGTTGAATAAAGGGGGCGAGAACTACGTTACGATATACTTATTTATTGGAACACGCTTAATAAGACGTAATTAAATATGTTCGATTTTCGACTTGTTCCGAAACTCGCGAACTCGTGTTCTTTCCACCTTTTTTTTGGGGGGGGGGGTAGAGGAGTAGAGGGGGCTGGCGGGCTGGTCGAGAGAAACAGAGATTCATTCGGTGACCAAGTGTGAGCAAGTGAGAGAGAAAGAGAGAGAGAGAGAGGTTCGAAAGTAGATGCACCGAGTGCACGTGTGCACCGCGCTTCACGCAAACATTCTCTGGCCGGCGACGGAATTGCCTAGATCAGGGGGCGAACGATCGCGTCGATATCGTACTGTCCGATTCTTTCTTTCGCGTACGGTACGACTAGACTGCGTATAGCACTCTATACGAATAGAAATTGAACGAAAATCGAGTTGCCCTACTGGAGGCCTCGTCGTGTTCCAAAGAACGTAGAAGCCTCGGTTGTCTATTATCTCAAGCAATTTTCTACGTCGACGTTTGGAAGAGCCGTCGCGCTAATCGATAATTGCCGCAGTCTAGTTACGGACACCGTTTCACGCTTACTCGTTTCGGTTCGTCGCAGCAACCGCGAGAAAATTATCGCGTTTCACGGTCGCGTTTCATTGCGAAACGTACGGATTCGTCGAGAGCCTCGAAACGAACGTGTGAGATTATTTAATTATTTGAAACTGTTAATTAGAAAAGACTGTAACGATTTAACAATTTCAATGCAATTTTACCGTGCAATACGCAGATCCTCGTTCAACTTATTTAAACAAAATTAAATTTTTAAACGAAGTGCCTATAGAACGTAAAGTCTGATCTAATTTTTTGCGGATAAAACCTTACAATTTTATAATTTCTCAATATCTACGTCTTAAATTTACTATGCTAATTTTAACCATCCGCTTAAATTCAGTTGATATTACTCCTAATTTTTAAACCGACCGAAATACAATGAATTTCTTTTCTGTAACTATTTAAGATTATAAATTAGAAGAGACTATAAATATTTAACGATTTCAGTGGGATTTTACATCCAATAAGCAAATCCCTATACAACTTACTGAGGCAAAATATCTATAAAATATAAACTCTAATTCAATCTTTTGTGAATAAAACCTTACAATTCTACAACTTCTCAATATCTAAACGTTAAATGCTAATTTTAACCATCCAGCTGACATTACCCCTAATGTTTAAACCAAAATACAATGAATATCTTTACTGTAACTATTTAAGACTGTAAATTAGAAGAGACTATAAACATTTAACAATTTCAATGCGTTTTTACATCCGATAAACAAATCCCCGTTCAATGTATTGAAACAAAACTGAATTCTAAACGAAACACCTATAAAACGCAAACTCTACTTCAATATTCTGCGGATAAAACCTTACAATTTTACAACTTTTCGATACCTAATTCTTTTTTTTTACAATGCTAAATTTTACAATGCTAATTCTAACGATCCGCTTAAAATTCAGCCAACATTACCACTAACTCTTAAACCAACCAAAATACAATATAAATTTCTTTACCGTAACTACTCGAGACTATAAATTAGAAAACGCTATAAAAATGTAACAATTTCAACGCAACTCTACATCCAATAATCAAATCCCTATACAACTGATTGAAACGTCGAAGCTTTCGAGTAATCGACAAACGCAAAAACGATCCGTTCCGTAATTTGATCCAACCGTTGCGGATCAACGTTACCAGCATAGTTTTCTCGCAAGTGCTGCGACACGTCCGCGCGTTCCTAACTCGCGACCGAAGCAGACCCCCGCTCCGTTTGGCCCGAGAAGCGGCCGAGAAGGATCGATCGGTGAGCAACGATAATATCGATAACAATTCTATGTCGCTTTTTATGAAGCGTCAAAGCGTTACATGAGCTGCGCGCGTCTGATATACGTGTTCTATATAATAGTAAGGTCGGTTGAGAGACAGCGGGGGCGGCCGGCGAGACGGTCCGGATCGCGACCCCTGTTCTAGACCGTTCCGCTCCGGTTAATCAGCGTGTATCCGCGCGATTCTCTCTGATCGGGCGAGGCAACGAGTGTCGCGAGAGACAGAATCGAGAGAACTCTATGAAAGGAACGAATCGACGATGCGACGCGAGTTCACGGTGCTCGAGGGGGGTGGAGGTCGAGGGGAGAGAAGGGCGCGAGCTGCCCGTGCGAGATCGTCGATCCTAAATCGCGGGGTGAGTCCTCGCGGAAGTTTCGTCTCGAGACTCCGAGTTAGTGTCTTTCTCTACCGCTACCTTTCGACCAGGTTCGCCGTCGCCGTGCTCGACGAGCGCCGTTAAAAAGGAACGCGTCCGTCGGAGCCGACGGGGCTGATCGTCTACCTCTACGTTCGCGCGACGAGATAGTCGCGGGTTTGTCGATCGAGATTTCAAAATGATTGACCGATCGCCTAGGAGCGAGCCGCGGACCGGCCGCTCGCGCAGATCGGCCGTCGTTCCGCGTCATTTTCGGGCTGCGGCTCGCGGGGCCGCAAGGTCGTGCCGCTCTGACGCAAGCTTCGTTAACGAGTTCATCGTCCGGCTCATTAAACTGTTAACCCGTTCGAAGCGAATCGGAACGCGCGCACAATAGGAGTTCGCGCGTTTATGGCGAAAATCGGTGAAACAGCACCGAAGTCGCCGGACGAATTGAACGCTAAACCTACCGAGCACCAAAGATGCCTGCCGCGCGTTGTTTTAGAACAGTTACAAGACTGAATTCATTTAGACTTCTATTTTTATCAGCTATTTTTATCATAATATGTGCTCGGAAAGGAGCCTTTATAATTTCATCAATTTGAACAGAGAACAAATGCGGAAGCAGTCGTTCTAATCGGCAGGGTAGGTTTAGTGTTGACAATGTTGTTACAGTATTTTGAATTTGTTAGAACTATTAAACGGAAGAAATACGCTCTTTCGTTTCTCCTAATCGACGTAGACAATTTTCGCACAGGGATCCGCAGTCTAGCGACAACAACGAGCCGGAAAGAAATGTCGAAATTCGAAAAGTCCCTGGCGTCGACCGGGTTGTTCGATATTGGATAATGCCGACGACAGTGTTTATTGTTAGTCGATAGCAGAGAATTTCGATGTTCGAATGCGGAGAAAGAGTTAGACAACGGGCTCGTTAACATTTCATTGCAGGATGACTCGCGCGACGGTCGATCTGCCCTCGCAGCTGGTCCGCAATCAAAGATAAGCGTTCGAGGAGGAAAACGATCCCGCGGAATCGGTTTTCTTCTGCGCTTTTCCCACCTACGGATGCCTCCTCGGACTCTCGATGGCTCTCGGTTCGTCCCCGTATCGTTCTCGTCCTCGATCGTTCGATAGAAAGACGTGTATCACTGGATGCGAGGGTTTTCAGGCACGAGACGAACTCTTGTAGGAAATACTGTTTTTTGCTTTTTTTTTTCTTTTCAACGTTTTTGAACGAACTCGAGAGAGAAAGAGAGAAGGAGCGAGAGTGAGTGATCGAGTGAATGAGTGAGTGAAAAAGAGCGAGAGAGAGAGATGAGAGAGAGAGAGAGGAGAGAGAGAGAGTGATGAAAAGTAGGGAGACCTTTCGAACGACATTGTTTCAAACGAAAGGGTAATCGTGATCGGTGATGACGAACAGCTGAAAGTAAAGGCGGACAACGTCGAAATGGACGAACGGACGAGCGTAATCCGTTGTTATTATCTTCGCGGTAAACTTCCGCCGCGGCCAATTAGCCGCAACGACCGTCCAACGAGTCGACGCAACGAGCATCTTCGTAAACATTCCGATTGTCCCGAACGGTCGCGCAAACGAAGCGAAACGAAACTCCCGGAATATTATCGTCGCTTCGGGAGAGAGAGAGAGAGAGAAACGCGTTTCTTTTTTCTCTCCTCCGCGAAGAAAATTTCCGATCCCCCGACGACCGAAATCAAGGGATCGAGACGAGCGATTTAACTTTTGAGAGCGGAGTTCATTTACGCGTTGCACGGCGACGCTTCGTTTCAATTTACAATTCCTATCGTCGAGATATGCAAACGAGAGGTGGAGGAAGATAATCGTGGTCGGTGGGCGAACCAATCTCGACCACGAAACAAATCTTTGAAGCCGACGTCTCTCGCTGGCAACAAATACAATTAGTTTTATTGCACGTTGCTTGTCTTCCCGCGAATAATCGAACGCGGCGCAACTTGGTAGGACGGCCTGCGAGCAGCCGTTGACCCTTGAACCGAGTGAAAATTATAAATACTACCCCTGGCAGGAGGTGCTCGATCGAAATATTAAAAACGAAATGTACACCGTGACTAAGAAGATAAAAAAAATGACGAATGCTCGTGTCACCGTCGAATACAAAATAATAAAAATCGAAGTAGCACGACGACAAAGCATTGGAACATTGTTGTTTTCAGGGAGAGCGAGATAAGCCAAAACGAGCGTCGAATTAACAAGAAACCAACAGAATCCAGGAATCCCCGGTTGAAGGGTTCGTGGTTGTTTCAGCGTCGAGCCGGCGAGATTCTGGTGTGGCTGTCGCGTACACCTTGTCTGTATTGTACTAGGTCCGACTTAGGATCGTCGTGAGTAGTGCAACGTTAACGAAATATCGATAGAAATTTCGGTGACACAGGACAACGCGGGTCTCGTGCAACCATGTTCTCTATACACATAATGTACACGCGTGTATACAGGGCACGACGGATCGATTGGCAGAACCCGAGCGAGGAATTTCTCCGCGGGACAAACCGTGAATGGAAAATCGGATTTCATTCCGCGCGGAAACACTTCCGGTTCCGCCACTCGCCCCACCGGGTCCTGTACATAACAATATATTCGTCCGTTCGTTCGTTCGATATACATTATATTCATATATTTATATATATATATATTTTTATATATATTTATACTCTCTGGAAGGCGACAGTAGAAACTACCGAAGTAAATGTATACGATATCATAATAATAACAGGTATGCACGGAGATCGAGAACAGCGGTTAGGAAATGTTCCCGTCCCGGCTCTAATCGCGAGAGGGATAGAAAGAGAGAAAGATCGCGAAACAGATAGAGAGAATGGGTGAGAGAAAGAGAGAGAGAGAGAGAGAGAGAGAGAGAGAGAGAGAAATAGACAGAAAAATAGAGAGAGAGTGAGATCTCCTGTCGCGATTATTCAAATCTTGTTCTAGTTCGCCGAGTCCATCGACTTTTGTTAGGGGAAGAATAGGGAACTCGGACCTCGAGGATCCTGATTGCAACACCCGTCGCCTACGACGGGCTCTACGTTCGAGATCCGATGAAACTGCTTTTCGTTTCCAAAAAACCTGGAACGACTGGGGAGAGAATCGTCTTCGGAAAGAGGGGGGGGGGTGAAGGATAGGGGACGAGGGACAAGGAACGGGAAAACGATGAGAGGGAAAGAGTTGGAGGGGGATAGAAGACGACGGTGAAAGCCCTGAGTAGCAAGAAGGAAGATGAACCCCGGGGTAATGGCGGGGAGAGACGCGGCGACGAAAGGTTTGCGACTAACGAGGAGAGAACGGTCCTCCTATCCGTTTAGACGTGCTGCACGTACTCCGGGTTCAGGAACGAGAAGCCCATGAACTCCGTCTGGTCCAGATTCATCATGAACAGCTTGTCCGTGGGCGTCAGGTCCGTCTTCTCCGATGTGAACTGTTTGTCGAAGTTGTTCACGTCCTTGCGGTGTTTCTGAAATCGGGCGACGCCGTTATAGTATATGGTATATGCATGACTATAGTTCTATAGTATATACTATATCTATAGTTCTATAGTTCTATAGTTCTATAGTATATACTATATCTATAGTTCTATAGTTCTATAGTATATACTATATCTATAGTTCTATAGTTATATAGTTCTATAGTTCTAGACTCGCTCGCATGTGGATGACACAATTATTTGCTTAGATTTGAACACTGATTTGTACGTTAATCTATTATATCTTCCTTAGTTTATCAAGAGTGTTGAAAGTGACGAAGTCGTACAAATTAACACTTTCCAGTTTTAATCAAACTCAATACTCTAACTGTACGAGATTTTTCTGATGGTAGGCGTGTCGGTCAAGGTGTAAGGTGATGTCGGTTCTCTTCGTCGGTACTCACAATCTTTGGCTTGAACGGCGGCTGCACCTCGCGGTTCTCGATCCTCACCCAGTCGATGTGCCGGAAGAACGCGTGGCTGCGCACGTCCTCCTCCCCTCGGAACCCGCAGCCCAGTCTCTTCACCGGATTCTTCGTGAGGAACTGAACAGCGACAAGGTATCATTACGTTGTCTCAAGAATCGAACGGCGACGATGCAATCTATATAGTTTCTACATTTCTACATTTCTACCATAGTTTCCCAAAGCTCTTTGGCTCGTGGCTCTCTCTCTCCCTCCCTCTCTCTTCAGGGTCTAAGTACAGCATCCCCTTTAGCATCCCCTCCAGCATCTCCTTCGGCATCTCCATTTCTATAATTTTTTGATCTTGGAAAGTTCGCCCGTAGCCAGTGATCGTCCGAGCACCCACGTTGGGAAATTATGGTTTGCAACGGGTTACGAGGAGAAGTTACGGTACTCTTACCGCTTTACAAATTTCCCTGGCCTCCTTGGTGAGGCTCTTCGGGTAGCTGACGTTGTGATCTTTGATCGCGTCGAACAGCTCGTCCTCGTCTTCGCCGTCAAAGGGCGGCTGTCCGACCAGCATCTCGTAGAGCAACACTCCGTACGCCCACCAGTCGACCGACTTTCCATACGGCTGGTAAAGGATGATCTGCGGAAGAAGGACTTAGTTAGGCGAATTATATCGATTAACAAGAAGCTGGCAGATCGGTTGACAAAGCCACCGACTTCGGGGGCGATGTAGTCGGGCGTTCCGCAGAAGGTTTTGGTGGTTTTGTCGCCGCTGATGCCCTCCTTGCACATCCCGAAGTCCGCGATCTTGATGTGCCCGTCCTGGTCCAGCAAAACGTTGTCGAGCTTCAGGTCCCGGTAGATGATGCCGCGTCCGTGAAGATAGAACAGGCCGATCGCGATCTCGGACGCGTAGAATCTGCGTAAACGCGAACGTACGTTAATCTGTTTTATCGGATATCTCGAAGAGATGCTAGAATGTTAGGCGCTTACACGGCCACCGGTTCCTTGAACTTGCCACACTGCTGTATCTGGTACATCAGATCTCCCCCGTTCACGTACTCCATCACGAAATACAGTCGGTCCATGGTCTGGAAGCAGGAGTGCAGCTGCACCAGGAATGGCGGCTTGCTGGACAACGCCAGTACCCGTTTCTCGACCATCGCGCACTCCACGTCTTCGTCCTGGATGATGATGTCCTTCTTCAAGATCTTGATTGCGTACAGCTCGTCGGTACCCTTTCGCTCCGCCAGCAACACCTGAAACCGCGAGAACGACCTTGAAGGACCAAACGGGGTACGGTAAATTCTCTTCGATCGGAGAGGATTATTTGAGCGCCTCGGCTCGTTTTTATAGTTGTTGATAATTGGCGACTATAAAAACGAGCCTCTCGAATAATTGTCCATAATTGTCCAAATTGTTCATTACCGTTTACAGTAAATTCTCCTTAATTTTTCTTCCGCTTGCAAACAAACGTAGACAATATAGAAAGAGGAGATACGATTATTCGAGCCTTGCATCTGGTTTTTACAATTGTAAACTGTAAAAATGAGCTCCGAGGCTCGAACAATCGTATCTCCTCTTCCCAAATGGTCCGTTTTTGTTTATAAGCTGAAGGAAAATTGTGGAAAATTTACAGTACATGCTGCGGGACAATTAGAGAGAATTTGTGATAATATTCTCGGTATTTTTCTATTACATCGAAGAAAGGTTTCGTTTATTCAACTCTGTTGCTCCGCCTCGAACACTGAACTTACCACGTCGATTAAAATTACCGAATCTACAACGTTTCTCTCGAAATTATTAAAATGATAAAGAATGTTCCAATCGCGCGTTATACAAAAAACAGCAAGATATCTAAACGGATTCGTTCTAGTAACTTTTATAAAGCGACGCATGTCGCACATCCCGGCAGGCTCAGTGTTCTCGAAGCAATCACGTTAGAAAAGCTGTCCGAGATATATGTATTTGTCCAAGATTGTGTTTCCAGTGCTCCGGTGTCTGAGAGCACTCGATCCTCAATCGAGGAATCCAGTGAAAGAAGCGGGAGAACGCTGGAGAACGTATTGAATTCGATCCCATTTAGACACCGAAGAAGCTGGTGCTCGCGCGCGCGCGCGCGAACGAAATACATAGCCATCGAGAAGCGACTGACTTTGCCGAAGCTGCCCTTGCCGAGCACCATGAGGAAGTTGAAGTCGCTCGCCCTGATCAAGTCGCTCTTGCCCATGTTGTGCGGCACCTCTTTGTCCTGGGTGCTCTGGGCTTTCTTCGTGACCGATGTCTTCTAGGAGGAAAAACACAGTTGAGGCTCCAAAATGAAGGCTGGCCCGATCGCCGATTAGAACGGAGGTGGGCTTACTCGCATCTTGACTTTGAGCTCGGCGAGATCGACGCCTTCCTCCGGGACCGGCACGTTGTAGAAGTCGCCCTCCTCCTGGGTGAGCAGCTTGAACCATCCGCTCGCCGGAGCCTTCATCAGCTCCGAGATGCCGAACGAAAGGGAGCCCATGAAGTCGTTCCTGGACGTTCGGTCCCAATCCCAGACCTCGATCAGCAGCCGCCGGTCCTTGTCCTCCGGCTTCATGTCGCTGAAACGCGTGAACCACCAGTCAGTATATTGTTATTAACCAATATATTATTATATACCATACAGTATATATATATATTATTATATATATTATTATAACCAGCTGTGTTTGACGAGTATGGTAATGTCTCCCTTACTGACGCTCAGATTGTCCACTAAAATGGACAATTTGGGAAAATACGATTATTCGAACCTTGCGGCACGTTTTTATAATTCTGGAGAATTTATAACTATAAAAATAAACCGCACGGCTCGAATAATCGTATCTCCTCTTCCCAAATTATCCATTTTAGTGGACAATCTGAGCGTCAGTAAGGGAGACATTACCATCTGTCTCTTATACACATCTAGATGTGTATAAGAGACAGACATTACTGTATTTGGGAAGAGGAGGTACGACTATGAATAATTATTATTACTACATTATATAAATATAATTATATATAATTATATTTGTATATATATATATGTATATATATATATATATAAATATATATATCATATAAATATATTACATATAAATAATAATAATATTTATTGACATAACCTTGGCACAACCTCGCGGCTCCTTTTACCAGGAAGAATTTAATTGCCGAATAACGTTTTACAACTGCAATTAGAATGTTCAACTTTTACAAGTGTTCGATTTTCCCTGCGATTTTTCGTTTATTATGTACGCAGTGTACGTTAATGTTAAGCGAATAAATTGGTGATAAAATAATTGGTGACAAAGGTGATGAAATTGTTGATTTTATGTTAAATAAAACCGTCTTTTCGATCCGAAATTTGAACAGCGATCTTTTTAACTTGCTCCTGCTGTGTTCGTCGTCGCTTGATTCTCGCGGCACACATTGGCGCGCGCTATGAAAACTAGACGCCACAGCTAACTGGTTAACACAAAACCTACCAAGCAGTAATACTAACTGGCATGTACTGCTTCGCAAAAGTGAGAAGACCCAATTTATTTAAAATTTGTAAAGTTTTTATTATAAAACTTGCTCCAATAATATCACTTGTTCAAGCGTTTTCCACGAAAGAGTCTCGGAACTTTGCAGAATTAAAGAAACAAGAAAGCGGTCACTTCGACCGCGTTAGTGTTAGTTTAGCGTTAAACAATTCAGTTCTGGAATCGGAAGAGAAAGGGGGGAACTCACAAAACGAGCGTCTCGTTCCATTCCGGGTTCAGCGACGATTTGATCGTCTTGGTCTTTTTCTTCACGTTGTCCGAATCCGGGATCAGCTTCAGCTTCACGTAGGGATCCGACAGGCCGTTCGGGTCCATCGGGATCAAGTTCCGGCCCTGATTCACTGCAATCGGTTCCCGATCCCGCGATCGGATCATTCCGGGTCCTCGCGGAGCGATCACCGAGAGAGGATCCTCCGGAGAGGAGGATCCACGGCCAGCCTTGGTTCGCGTCGGATCGAGGACGAACGGCGAGCCGAACACGCGGAACGATCGATTTTAATACCGTTTCGTTTCAACGTTCCGACCTTGCGGAATCGAAAGAACCGCCTTTTCCAGCCGATAATAACGGTCTAATAATAAAGATCTCGCTTTCCTCGAGGCCCTGTTCCACGAGATAATCTTCTCTCTCCGAGCCACTTGAAAAACGTTTGACGGGAGAAGAGAGAGAGAGAGACCCTAGTCAATAAATCGATCTCTCCGGAGATATTTTTAATAACGATTGCCGCGGACCCGACGGGATTATTACGCGGACCGTAATAATCAAACGGATCTGGCCTCACGGTTACGCGTTCTTTTTTACTTTTTTTTCGGCGCGGCCGATCCGTCCGTTCGTCCCGATCCTTCCCGCCCCTTTGATTCGCTTTTCGGAAGAGGAGACCCTATTGTCCCCGGCGTTCCGGGCTCCGACGGATTCTATTCGGTCGGATAACCGTGATTGCGATCGGTTTATCGCGGCGGAAAAGCTCTCCGGACAAATAAAATGGAAGAACATAGAGCGAGGGGACGAGAGAGAGGGAGAGACAGAGTGAGAGAGAGAGAGAGAGAGAGAGAGAGAGAGAGAGAGAGACGGCTATGGGCAGAAGGAATTATCGAAATTGTAACCGATAGAATTATCGGAAAAATATAAATTGGCGTAGACCCCACTCGGAGGACGCTTGGACGCACTGTGATCTGTAAAATCGGGATTTTATGGATTTCTGGCGGGAACAAATACGCGGGATCTGTGTTAACTCATTTCGCGTACAATGCCGCAGTCTGTGGCAGGGGTGGCCAAACTTTTCATCGCTATCGGCGACCTGTTTTTTGAAAATTATAGACGCCGGTAGAGCAACATCGTATGCATTAACCCTTTCCACTCGAATGGAAATTCCAAGGCGGCATTAAAAATTGTTATGTCACGTTTCAAAATAATTTTATTCATCGAGTTTGTTCATATTCGAAGAACTGTTGAACCGATAACTGTTGCATCAATCGCAAAGTTCAATTTCATATTGCATAAAATGCATTAGGTTATATAAAATGGGAATACAAGTGGGTCGGAAATACTATATTAAATTTTCCGTTAATTTGGCTTCGAGTGCAAAGGGTTAACACTTCTACGACCGCGCTAGAAACCTCAAAAATCGTTCATATAATATTAAAATGTTTCATTCAATCGAGCAAAAATTACGAAGCGATCTTATAATATATGCCACTAATTATCTCTTCAGCATTCGTGCCTCTTGCAAATCAGAATAAACTTAAGCGATCATTCTTAATTTTTCATTGATCATCCATATTCGGCCATCAATCGACCGAATTTAAAACGGGGAGATCTCCCCATTCGGTTGGTTGAGTGTCAAGTGATCGCGAGAAAAGTAACAATTTGAAGCCAAAAATGTGTTTAAATTTAAAATAAGCTTTAAAATAAATTTTTAATTTTAAATCGACAACACGAGATAGCCGGGCGACTAGAAATAGTTTCGCCGTCGACCAGCCGTTATTTTGGCCACCCCTGGATTATAGTTTGTCTATCCGGACGATTCGGTGAATGTAAACCGGCTATTAATGATTTAACAATCGGCAGCTTTTCCGATCCAGATTTATTTCACAACCGATAGCCAGACTATCGCCAATCGTTTCCATTTAGCGATTCGTTTTCATTGGTCACGCTCTATACGCGTAGTTGCAGCAGATCGTACAACATCGATAGAATTCTCTGCCGCTCTGACTGACTTGCGTTTCGCGTCTAAACAGTTCAATCTAAGACAATCCGCATGGTTTATCGTGTAAATCAACACGGATTCGCTACGGCACTCCGATCAAGTACAGCGACCCGCAAGACTGAGTCAAACACGCCTTCAAACGGAACACGTTTATTCTTTTAACGCGATTATTTAACGGCGATGATTTTATAATTTTCGAGTCTTTATTCACAGTCCTTAATTCACGATTGAAAACTACAAGTCGTTCCCAATGATATTATTTGTTCATATATATTTATACTGTACATATTTATATATATGTACAGAATGTCCCGAAATTATTGTACAAGCGGGAAATGAGAGGTTCCTGGGATCATTCGAAGCAACTTTTTCCTTTACGAAAATGTTCTCCGAGGCGTCGTTAACGAGTTATTAACGGAAAACAGTGACCAATGAGAGGCGAGCTCAGGAGGCGCGAGGCAACGAGCGCGCTTAGCCCAGTTCCGCCCAGTTCACTCGGCCCGCCTCGCGCCAGTCGAGCTCACCGCTCATTGGCCCCTGTTTTTCGTTAATAACTCGTAAACGGTGCCGCGGATTGCATTTTCGCAAAGGAAAAAGTTACTCCAAATGACCTGAGGAACCCCTTATTTCTCGCTCGCACAATAATCTTGGGACACCCAAGTATATCTCTCTGATACGTGACGTGCGTCTTCCGAGTCTGCTGCATCGACTTCGGATGTACCATTCGAATCGAAGATCAGCCTTAAATAGAACGGGACTAACTGGTCGGACAGATCGACGCGGCATCCCCTTCCGAAAAATTAGGCTGGCGGCGGATCCCCAATGACGAGGGGGGAGGGGAAGCGACTTAGGTGACGAGACTTACCCTCCACGGTGAGCTTGTTCCCGGAACAGTTGATGTTCAAGTTGATACGACCGCGTCTTTCGGTGTGGTCGCATCCGCACAGGTTCGGCACGCTCTCCTCGCACCTCTTGTGTACGTTCATGTCGCATGCTGCGTCATCAGATCAACGATCAGTTATCGGAGTCGTTCGACGCTCCCGCTGGCGTCACGCAGCCAGGCGACCGGCAACCTCTCGTTCGTTTGCCGCGTTGTGTTTTTCGTTCAACTTTCTTTTACTGCACTTTCGCAACATTCGAACGTTTCGAGCAGCGGGATGGATGCAGAACAGCGCGCGGGGGTGGGTGTGCGATGCTTTTTTTTTTGGCGCGTCTATGTCGCCGGGACCGCGGCCGCCGTTCGCGCGATCTCTTCGCGATCATCGCGGCTAAACACGATTGATCGTCGTTGCGAATTTATAGCGATCGACTGGACGTTGCGCGAAAACGTCCAGTGCAACGAGCTGAAAATGCGCGATAAAACGGGGGAGTAAATTCTCTCCGGTCGGACGCTCAGATTGTGCACAAAAATGGACTACGGTAATGTCTCTCTAATTGACGTCCAGATTGACCACAAAAATGGACAATCTGAGCGTCAGTAAGGGAGACATTACTGTATTTGGGAAGAGAAGGTTATGATTATGGATAATAATAATAATTATTATTACTATATTATATAAATATAATTATATATAATTATTATATATTATTATTATTAAATTATATATAACTATTATATTATACTATATAGTTATATATAATTATTATATATTATTATTATTAAATTATATATAACTATTATATTATACTATATAGTTATATATAATTATATTATTATTAATATATTATTATTATTATTAAGTTATATATATAATTATATTATTATCATTAAATTTTGTACAACTATTATATTATATAGTTACATATAATTATATAATTATTACTAAATTTTATATAACTACTATATTATATAGTTATATATAATTATATTTGTATATATATAATAAATATAATTAATATATATATCATATAAATATATTATATATAAATAATAATAATAATTATTGACATAACCTTGGCACAACCTTGGGGCTCCTTTTATCAGGAAGAATTTACTATCTCGCTTGGGTCACGAGAGACCCTGCGCTATCGTTAAAAAGCATAGCGTTTTCGTTGTCGGCGATCTCTGGCGCGGAGGGATGCATCGAAGCGAAGGGCGGCCGCAGTCGGTGAACGCATACGCGCGGAGATACGACGACCGTGAACCTTCGCGAAACGGTAAATGTGCGTGGTTTCGGGCGCGAACAAGCAGAAAAATTGACGAAACCACGGCTAGGAATTATCGACCGTCCGCGGCGACGCTCGGCCCGCGAAACAAGCTTTGGCCGGCGGGTCGGTCGATGACACCCTCCGGTACATGCTCGGTCGAACGAGCCAAGAAAAGATTCGAGACGAGCTGCGATCGATCCGCGAACCGGAACGTTCGTTTACCCGCGCGTATGCGAAACGACGCTGGGTCCCAATGCACCCGCGAGTACTGTCGCGACTCAATGGCCAGATCGGGAAATAATTCCAACGATGGCCTAATCGCGGATACGCTGGTCTAACAGGCCTAAGAGGTCTGGCATAGTCTGTACAAATCGATAGTACATTTTTCCATAAATTCTCCCCAATTGACGCTCATGTTGTGCACAAAAATGGGCAATTAGAGAAGAAGAATTATATTATATATATATTATGTATTATATTATATATATTAATATTATAATTGTGCATTGTTATAGATACATTGTTATTATATATAATATTAAAAGTAATTGTGCACAGAAATGGACAATTTGGGAAGAGGAGATACGATTATTCGAGCCTCGCGGCTCGTTTCTTCTTTTGTTATCGATTGTCAACTACAAAAACGAGCCGTAAAGTTATTTATAATCGTACCTTCCCTTCCCAAATTGTCCATTTTTGTGCACAATTAGTTTTAATATTATATGTAACAATAATATATGTACTATAATAATGTACATTTATTATACATTTATTATAATAATGTAAAATTATAATATAATACAATTATATATAAGAAAAATATATGTATATAATAATTATTTTTGGTTGGTCAATTAGGGAGAATTATACGTGTACATTCGCTCGCTCTTCCAAAGAAGATCGCGTTGCATATTAATCGAGCAAAATAGCAATTGAAGAAGAAATCTGTGTGAACTGTAATCATACTGTCGATTTTATGCGTTTACGATGACAACGAACAGACGAAACACGGAACATCGAAAGAAAAAAAGCAACAGAAATAATCCAATTATAATTTGTCACTTATCGAAATTTGTTGAGAAAAGAAATGATCTTCTGCGTTAATTTACTCCGAAAATCCGCGAGCCTAATTTCAACTTCCCGATCTTGAATCCCTAAATCACGCCGATTCGAAGTTGCGCGATTTTTAAGGGACAATCTTAGCGTGTCAGGCCTACGAGAGAAAATCCAGCATTCTCGCGGAAAATGATCTTAATGATCTTAGCTTGTGTTAGCTAAATGTTCTTCTCTTCCGAGAAATTCGCGTCAGCGAAGGGTTGATCGCGACTTCGACTTCGCCGACAGGACTCGCGGGGGCGCATCGGGACCGAGAAACGAAAATGGCGGGCACCCGCGTGAACTGCGAAGGGTGTTCGTGGCGCGGATTTACGATGCAAGTCCGAATATATCTACGACAGCGGGTGCGGATCGAGTAACGTGGCGTGCGCAGCTTTTGCGACCCGATCGTCGGCTCGAGTTGCTGGAAAATTTTTAGCAACGGTTGCGACGTAGATCTCTGCATCCGGAGATCCTCGAGCTATAATTTTCGAGCTAAAATTGCTGAAAAAAATTCGAGAACCGGGTAGAACAGAGATCTCTGAATCAGGAGATCCTCGAGCTATAATTTTCGAGCAAAAATTGCTGAAAAAAATTCGAGAACCGGGTACAACAGAGATCTCTGGATCCGAAAATCCTCGAGCTATAATTTTCGAGCTAAAATTGCTGAAAACAAAATTCGGGGACTGGGTTCGACAAAGATCTCTGGATCCGAAGATCCTCGAGCTGTAATTTTCGAGCTAAAATTGCTGAAAACAAAATTCGGGGACTGGGTTCGACAAAGATCTCTGGATCCGAAGATCCTCGAGCTGTAATTTTCGAGCTAAAATTGCTGAAAAAAATTCGGGGACCGCGTACGACAGAGATCTCTGCATCCATATATCCTCGAGCTGTAATTTTCGAGCTAAAATTGCTGAAAAAAATTCGGGGACCGCGTACGACAGAGATCTCTGCATCCATATATCCTCGAGCTGTAATTTTCGAGCTAAAATTGCTGAAAAAAATAGGGGACCGGGTAGAACAGAGATCTCTGAATCAGGAGATCCTCGAGCTATAATTTTCGAGCTAAAATTGCTGAAAACAAAATTCGGGGACTGGGTTCGACAGAGATCTCTGCATCCGGAAATCCTGGAGCTACAATTTTCGAGCTAAAATTGCTGAAAAAATTCGGGGACCGGGTAGAACAGAGATCTCTGAATCAGGAGATCCTCGAGCTATAATTTTCGAGTTAAAATTGCTGAAAAAATTCGAGAACCGGATACAACAGAGATCTCTGGATCCGAGGATCCTCGAGCTGTAATTTTCGAGCTAAAATTGCTGAAAAAATTCGAGAACCGGGTACAACAGAGATCTCTGGATCCGAGGATCCTCGAGCTGTAATTTTCGAGCTAAAATTGCTGAAAAAATTCGAGAACCGGGTACAACAGAGATCTCTGGATCCGAGGATCCTCGAGCTGTAATTTTCGAGCTAAAATTGCTGAAAAAATTCGAGAACCGGGTACAACAGAGATCTCTGGATCCGAGGATCCTCGAGCTGTAATTTTCGAGCTAAAATTGCTGAAAAAATTCGAGAACCGGGTACAACAGAGATCTCTGGATCCGAGGATCCTCGAGCTGTAATTTTCGAGCTAAAATTGCTGAAAAAATTCGAGAACCGGGTACAACAGAGATCTCTGGATCCGAGGATCCTCGAGCTGTAATTTTCGAGCTAAAATTGCTGAAAAAATTCGAGAACCGGGTACAACAGAGATCTCTGGATCCGAGGATCCTCGAGCTGTAATTTTCGAGCTAAAATTGCTGAAAAAATTCGAGAACCGGGTACAACAGAGATCTCTGGATCCGAGGATCCTCGAGCTGTAATTTTCGAGCTAAAATTGCTGAAAAAATTCGAGAACCGGGTACAACAGAGATCTCTGGATCCGAGGATCCTCGAGCTGTAATTTTCGAGCTAAAATTGCTGAAAACAAAATTCGAGAACCGGGTACGACAGAGATCTCTGCATCCGGAGATCCTCGAGCTATAATTTTCAGGCTAAAATTGCTGAAAAAAATTCGAGAACCAGGTACGACAGAGATCTTCGTATCAAAACAACCTCGAGGTATCTGCCGTCGAGAAAAATCGTCAAAAACTTCGTGGCGCGGTTGCGACAGAGAACTCTGCAGCAGGAGATCCTCAAAATACATTGCAATTGGTAAAATAGCTAAAAAAAAATCAAGAAGCAGGTACGACAGAGATCGCTGCACCGGTAGGCGATAATTTTTCAGCTGAAATTGCTGAAAAAAGTTCGACGAGCTGATACGTCGGAGATCTCCGCGGCAAGAGATCTTCAAGGTGCAGTAAATTCTCCCTAATTGACCCTTAGATTGTACACAAAAATGAACGATTTCGGAGAAGAGAAGCCTTCATTATTCGAGCCTTGACCCTCGTTTCTATAATTGTTAACAATCGGTAACTATAAAAACAAGCCTAGAGGCTTCGGGTAGTTTACCTATTCTTCTGAAATCGTACATTTTCGTGCGCAATCTGTGCGCGCTAATTAGGGAGAATTTACCGTACACGCAGCCGTATAAAATTGTCAAGACGAAAAAAGGCTTCGTGGAACGACAGAGATCTCTGCGACGAGATGTGCTTCGTGACATCTCGGTTTTTTTTCGAAAAAACGGCGTAGAAAAAAATGTCGGCGAACCCGACAGTCGCGGAACCGGAATCTCGCGCGACCGTCGAGCGGGTCGAGTACACTGCGCTCGCGTG